GTAATTTTACTTGATATACAGGGTTAAGTTAGAGAACAAGATAATTTATAGAGGAATTGTGACACTCAGCAATATTACATTTCTAAGCTTTGAAGTGACACAGATTGTAGCATTCAATATTTCAGGTTCTGGCAAAGCCAAAAATTAGTTCTTGTATATGTAACCAGAAGAGGGGTAATTTTCATTTCTAAGTAACTAAAGCATGTCTTTATATATACTGTATATATTGCCATATATGTTAGGTATAAGATATAAAAAAATTTATTAAGGCCTATGTCTGAATGTTGTGCATTCTGAAAATTCAAGAACAATTTTTGAAGGGAGGATTTGAAAAAATTCACATTTCATTTCAATGTAACAGATTAAACAGATAATAATAGGTAAAAAGCAGGTTTAAGATTGTCAAGGATGAATGTCAAATGGATTTATCGAATGACTATGCATACAATGGGTCACAGCTTCCACATATATATATTTGTTATAGACTTGTGTAGCTGCTTTAGTGTACCTATTAATTGCAAACACTGAAACAGAATCTGTTCTTGTTTTACAGTGCATTCCTATATGCATATCAGAATGAGATAATCTTATAGAGATAAGATTAAATCTAAGAAATTGAAGTAACAAATGTTTTAACTCTTTGAGAGACAGAATATGAAAATACTTGTCTTTTAGAATCTGAAGAGAGGGTAGACGTACAATAAAACATTTGAAAATATTTCCAGGAATGAAAGTGCAGAAGATGATTGATTATTTTTTTTCTGGTTTCCCCTTCAGATATTCACATCCTTATTTTAATTGACTTGCTCATATAAATACAGCAGGATTGTTGTATTTTTTTAAATAACTCTTTACTGAATATGTCAACAAGATAATATATAGTGTATAGTGAGGTTTTGAAGTTAACAATGCGTGCAACATGGCAGATTGCAGAAAACAGATAATGCAGACTTCAAACCATCTATTTTTCCATGTTAAAGATAGAAAGTATACCAAACACATAACAGAATCAAGTGTGCATGTCTCAGTTAAAATCAATTTTATGAAAGATCATCTTCAGATATTTGGGCCCAAGTAATGATAATTTCTTTAATAGCTTATCTGTTTCTGAGAAGATCAGAATTCAGCTCTCATGAGGCACATTTCCACAGAGCCCCAGTACAATAAAAGCTTGCCAAATCTCTTTTGTACTAGTTTTCCAGATGGACTACTAGCCAGCGTCCTTTTAAAGAGCAAGACATTCTCTGCTGTACAGAAGTTTAATGCCAAATGCTTCAATATTGCCTGTAGTATCATCTGGGATACAAAGTGCCCTGTTCAGTAGAGTTCAGGGAAGGAGTGATCATCAGCTTCCTAGGATTATCTCTGTGTTTAGAAGAGAGCATCAGGCAGGATTTGATGAGGCTCAGAGCCAGTAACTTTTTGTTTTGGCACTCATTTCTGGTTTGTTTTTTTTTTTTTTTCCACTGAGCTGGCAAGATAAGTCATGAGTAAAACCATTATTCTCATGTTCTAAAGAAAAAACTTTACTATCTCCATGTTATAATTTAAGGTGAAGAAGTACTATAAATGGAGAATTCAATGGGAATTAACCACTTCACTGTCAAAAGCTGAGACTGAACTTTTACTTCAGTGTCATTAATAAAGTGCCTTAGGTAGACCCTTAAAACCACAACAATATAATATGCATAAAGTTCTTTTGCTTGCAGAATTAAAATCCATACATTTCTCAGAGGGAGAAATTTTCTCTCATCAAAAGCAAAAATGACTGAGAGAAAAATATAGTTGAACTGCCTTCGTAGCAAATAGCATATGCTACTTCATTTTTCTGTTTTATATGACATTCATTGTAGTCCTTTATTGGCTTACAGGGAAAACTGCTAATATCTTTTCAGCCCAAAGTGACTCTATCCCTAAATATTCTTATGAAGAAATCCAACAATAACATCTCCAATAAGAACCTGTTAACACAAAGTCCATGCATTAACCCAGTGTTTGTTTCTGCCAGCAAGTTACATGCAAGGAACACTCATTACAGTGACAGAATCTGCGAAAACAAGGACTTGTTTGTAAATAAATAAGTCTTCAGAAGGAACCCAAGCACTGGACACAGCAGTGTTGTGATACTGCTTTAACATAATTTAATTTAAACTCTTATTTTATTCCACTCACCAATCTTTTCTGTACATTTATGTCAGCTATTAGCAGTATACAACGGAAGATGGGTGAGATTTTGTCTGTAAACCATTCATTTTCCCCTAGATCCAATGAACATGTTCAAATCAGGACCTGGAAGTGAACATTTTGGGTGATCTGTATACGTACGCATTTGGGACTTCTGCTCTATAGCCTTTAGTTAGTATCTGTGGTCAGATACTTGCACTAAGTGAAGATGACCTCATTTTTACAAAGCCCAAGGAAAAAGCTATTAATCTTAAACTTTACATCACCAAAAGATCATTGTCCATTTTTAATTCTGACTTTTTCCAAATACTTTACCTAGTGAAAATTGCCTGTTATGTACTTATCTAGGTGTGACCTGAAATGAAGTCTCAGCTCTTTGTGTGACTGGCACTTTGAAAAGTCCCAAACTCTGATGAAATACATTAACTCTTTTGCAGCTGGATAGCAATTAGAATTGGGAGAAACATTTTTCAAATGAAGCATATGACCTTTCACTCAACTATAACTGTGGACTTGTTTAGATAATACTCCCAGCTCTGACCACAAATTTTGGTATAAGTGGCTTGCTAGTTTTTTTTCAGAAGAATATAGAAAAGAAACTTTGTCAGAATCCCATACCGATATATATATATATTATTCTTCATATTGAAAAGAAGCATAAACTATGCTTTCTTTAGTATCATTTTGATTTTTGATCTAGGTAAGCAACAGTTACATATACATTACATCACCCGAGATCAAAACAGTTTACGAATGCCTTCTGCTTTCACCCTATTAGGACAGTAACCACATTTGTCGTCATCAGTTTGGGCTTGTGGACCATTCATCTGCAGTATGGCTGAACTCCCTGAATAAGTCATTTCCTACAAATAAGGCGCCTAGCTCATCTTGAAACTGTGGTATCCTGAGGCCTGGAACAGAAGATGTTCATCAAGGAGGACAAAGATTCCTCCAGCATCAGTCATTGAAGTACAAAACTCTAGTAAGCACGTACTTTCAACGGATGCCTCTTGAAATCAAACATACAGCTAGTTATTTCAGTGAAATTAAATACTACATCCACGCCCACTGGGAATCTCTGGCTCTGCTTAATTTCAAACAAACTCCAGCATGCAATGGAAGCGTGCGGAAGCACAACTATTTGCTGCTTGTCTTGTGGGCTTTGGCACCTAAAACATATTAAACAAACAAAACAAAACTATCAACCTTCTCATCATAATGTTCAGTAAATAGGTCAGAAAAAAACACTTTGCATAGACATTTCTACCTAGAATTACACCATTTGAAATCATATGGCATCCTTTTATTCAGCAAACTTTCAGTGACTTTATTATTACAGTAGCCACACAGGTTGCCTAAAATACCTGTTATAGCTGGAGAAAATAGCAAATATACAGAATATAGAGTGGAATTTCATAATGTGATCATAAAAGGTGTTGGGGGGGGTGTGTTTCCTTATATAATGATTGTACTTTGCAATCAATCATAACTGGATTCATTTTGCCATTGCAGAAAATGAGTGTTATCATGTGATTCGAACTTCAGAAACTGTACACTCATAGACTGCTGGGTTTCAAGAATGGGTTAAGTGAAATGAGCAAAGGAAAGGCTTAAAACCCTCTCTCCCAACATAAGCAGCAATGAAAAGTCTAAGCATTCCACAGTGAAAGTGCTTCAGCATTTACTTCCAATCCACTTCTAACAATTTCTCTTGTCCCTAGTTGGTCACTGTAAAAAGTTTTCTCTTTGGTTCCCTACTCCTTCAGGAAACTTTTGCCTCTCTCTTTTTTCTTTTTTTTTTCTCTTTGTTGTGAACTTTTACTTGTCCCCAAGCTTAGGAGAAAGTAAGCGGCATTAAAACAAAAACAAAAACCAACCAAACAAACAAACCAAAACAAAACACAAAAAAAAAAAAACCCAACCAAAACTGAAAGAAAGGAAGAATTAGATACCACCACTGAGCTGGTAAGAAATCCAGAGCTCTTGGCAGTCACAGAGTCAATGGAGTAACTGGAACATTATATAATTTTGAAAGCAGCATCATGATTTTAATACAAGCATGATGTTTTGCATACTGCATGTAAAGCTCAAAGACTCAGAACGTATTCCAGCTGAAGAATTTGAGGGAATAAAAAAGCAAATTCTAAGCCCACCTACTCTTTATAAAGCACAGATCATTGTGGAAAAATTCCAAAAGCTTAAGATAAAAGAAGGGTAATTCAGAGGGACAGTGTATACTCGTGTTCCAAAAATTCCTCAGCTAATCCAATGGTTAGTTTATGTCCGCCTCTGTATACTTGGATGGGGGAGGGGGGGCACAAAAAAAAGAAACAATCAGCATT